ACACGACCTCATGAGTCTATCTCAGCCGCTACACCGCTATGAAATTAAAAGTGGCAGGATTGTACCTAGGCTTGCTGGATACCTCATCAGTTTACCTTTGAAACTCGCTGTGCCTGATTCTTCACATTCCACCAAATCTCATGGACTTTGCCACCTGTCCTTCCTGCGAAGAATGCGTGAAGAGTCTTTCCGACATTCATGCACATGCGTTGTTGGAAGAATGCTGACTTGTAGTCGTGAAGCATGATCACACCTCCAGCCGAATATAAAAATCGCACTTCACGAAGCGAGGTCAAATATCATGGGGTGTAAATGTGCCTTTCGTTCATCTATCGTGTATCCTCACATCTCCAGCATGCCCGTGTTCTTCAACAAGGAGAGTGGAGAGAAAAAGAGAGAGTAAGATAGGAGGAAATTCGCTCGTTACATTGAGCCAGCACACCTCAACCCCCTGTGTTTTATACCAAAAGACCCAAATGTTCTACCCATACACCATGTCGTTAGCCCACCAGTATGTCCGTCTCACGACGGCCGGCTGGCAGGCAGTGCCGGCGGGGGGTATCATCGTCCCATCGTATATCCCTTCCTCCTTCTCATCTCACAGCGGTGGTGAGCACACAACGAACGAACGAACAAAAAACGCAACAAATCCACAAAAGCAGCAAATTGGTATATATTCTTTTTGCGCCGTAATTTGGGGAATCATTCAGCAAAAGCAAAGCAAAAGGGAGAAAACGCCCGTAAACAAGCAAAAAGACAAACGCAATACAGAAAACGCAAACAGCAGCAACAACAACCAGCCAGGCTAGGCTTTTGACGTGGAATATTTCGCCGTAGAGTAGGAGGGGGTATAATTCTTTTGTCGTCGCACACGTACAAGAGACAATGAACGCGTAGCGGGGTATTCGTCGTTAAAGGCCGGTTACAGTAGTGGTATCAAATAAATGGTTCGAGATTGGTGTATCACTTAACGAGGAGGCCCAATAGGGGCCGGGTATCCAGATGCAGAATGAGAAGTACTGGGGCGCCCGCTGTCCACGGAGCCCCGCGGGTCGTACCTAGGGGTCACGTCCCCAGGCGCCGCCGAAGAGGAACCAAAAGGAAACTTGGACTCGAAACGAGGTGCTGGCATGGGCCAGCCGTTGTTGTGGTGCTCGTCGTCCGCGAGGTTGATGCCGCTGTCGTTCCACGGGTTGCGGTAGCTACCGGTGGATTCCAGACTGGCGAGGGATGCCTTGGAAGCATTGCTCGAAGCGTGCTTGAAAAGGGATCCTGGTGAGTTGGTGTTTTTACGTCCGTTGAAAATGGACGTGAAGGACGACATGCTGCCTGGCTTGCGGAGGCGGTCGAGCATACCACGAGGCTCATCATCACCAAAGTGAGAGCGAGTAGGTGAGTCGGTACTGTCGACAGCTGGCTCTGCGCGCTGAAGCAGCTTGGACTCAAAGAACGGCAGAGAGTCTTCGAAAGAGTCCGACTTGGGACGTGGAAGAGCTCCACGAACAGTGTTAGTGTCAAGACCATGCATAACTAGATGGTTAAGCAAGAAATCGATGGCATCCTTGAGTCCACCGGCATTGTTTCTGGTGAAGACAATGTGGAAGGCTTCAAGCGTCTCTTCTTTGCCGTCGACAGTTTCAGTCTGCGCTTGCTGAAGCTGGGCATCGACCTCGTGCTGAGTCTTGAGCTTGTCAAGTATTTCAGCCTTGAACTCGGCTGAGCGGATGTGCTCGCTGAGTTCCGTGGTAGATGGGAAGGCGAGATCATGGGATTCTGGAACCATACCCAAGAACTCGTCAACTGCAAAAGGTACCTGATACTCAGGTCCGGACACTGTAACAATGTCGCTGGCTTCCTCGGTGCTAGGGAATGTAATCTTGCAGTTGAACTTCTTCTCCAGCTCATCGATCTTGTCTAGACGAGCAATAAGCTCCCGATGGTACAGACGGTTGATGTTGATGGTCTCAGAGACAAATTCGGCGTCGGCCTTCTCAACCATGTCCATGATCTCTTGCTTGACCAAGTCGAGGTTCTGAGCATTACGCGCAGGAGTGCGACAGATGACGTTGTCGACCTTGATGTCATCTTCCTCCTTACCAAAGCCGCCACGGTCCATGGCGTTGGAGAACTTGACAAAGACAGAGTACTTCTTCATGATGCGCTGAATGTGCTGACCACCAATGCCGATAATGCGCTTGTGGTACTGATCAGGGACATGGAAGGAAATAGAAGCAGGCATCTCCTGTTCGACAAGGTCTAGACCGTTCTTTGTAGCCTCATACTGGGCACCACGGACTACGATGTAGAAGTTGTACTCGTTGAAGCCATCGAAGACGATCTGCACACTGCTGTGGCTCATGATCTTGTTGATCTTGCCGTTCTTCTTACCACTGACGAACTCTTTGTGCTCATTGGCCAGCTCAATTTTGACGCTCATGTTGTACTGTGACTTCTTCACGAATGGGATGTTGCTGATGACCATTAGTGCAGCCCTGACAGCATCGTCGGATCCATAGATGTGGAAGTTGAGCTTCTCGAAGCTGACTTCAGCGCCAGAGTTGATGCAGATATCGGAGAGCATGGCGCGAACGTCGGCGGGTGTGGGTGGGCGCTGTGTGGGGTCAGGGTGGGTGATGAACCACGAGGCACTGTAAAATTGGCCGGCCTGGGGATTGTTAGTATAGTCCAAGATGAAGAATATACCGAACTTACAAGCTGCATCAGTTCGCGCACAGTTCGCTCGACATGCAAGACGTCAGTGCCTTGAACACGCACAACACCACGCTGAACACCAAGAGGGGGCAGTAGGATGTACGAGCCGTTGTTCTCGATGATCTTGCGCACCTTGTCCAGACGCTCGAGCAAGATGGCATCAAGCTTGGTATCGGTGACCATGACAGGCTTCACAAAGACCTTGGTGGACATGACTAGATCGTGCAGACGCTGCTTGGCGCGCAGTATATTCTCCGAGTTCTCACCCGTAATGTATACTAGGTCATCAGGCCTTCGCTGAGCACCGGGCGGCGTGTATCCGAACAGGCGAGGGAAGGGCGGGGGAAAGTAGATGGCGGTGCCCGTGGCAGACTCGATCATCTTGATGTTCTTGCGCCCGCGTCCGCATATCAGCGTGTGCATGGTGAGCTCGAGCTTCATGGTATCGACAGTTCGCTTGAGCTGTGACGGCATCGAATTAGCATGGTGCGCTAGCGGGCATCTGTGGGGCTCTGAGAACTCACGATCTGGTCGATCATAATCAGCACACGCGTCTTCGCGTGCTCCATGGTCTCGAGGTCGCCGTAGATGGCACAGCGCAGGCGCGGGTCCATGCCCGTGTCGATGTTGCCATGGAAGCTGGCCGTCTCGATGTCGGGCTGCTTGGGCATGAGCAGGAAGATGTCGGCCTTGGTGGCCTTGGAGATGAGGTCGAGCTGGTTGAGCACGGCGCCTCTGATGTTCTGTGTCGGCGGGTCGATGATAAGTTGCGAGTCAATATCGACAAAAGACGATCGCTGTGCCAAGACGTCAGCATGTGGCCTACAGGCGGAGTGCGCAGCATCAGCAGCCTACCAGAGAGATGGGCGTCGAGTTGAGGATGCGGCAGCGCATCGAGTTGACGATCTCGAGCTCGCCCGACAGGCACACGTTGGTGACGAGCGCCCGCAGCGGGCCCCGCTGCAGGCCGGGCAGCGGCTTGGACTCGGCCGACGTCACGTTGGCCGAGACGCGTCCGTCGGTCTGCTCGCTCACTTCTCTGCACAGGTTCCGCAGGTTGTCGACGTTCTGGGCGTGGACGGGCAGCTTGTGCGTGGGCGTCTGGTCTGCCGTGCCTTCCGGATGGGTCCAGCGCGCCTTTGCCCCCGGGCTCGCCCACATGATGTCGTCCGGGTCGGGCCCGGCGAGGTTGGAGGAGAAGGGCACGTTGAAGGACACGTTGACCTGGGAGCCGGGCGCGATGACGGGCGGGGCGGACGTGGCCGTCGAGGGACGCTTGATCGGGGCGGAGACGGGCATTTCGTGGTTGGACCGCGAGAAGGAGAAGGCCGTCGACGGGGCCATTTTCTCCCAGCCGTGGCGGGCCTGTGCCGGGAAGTTGGATAGTTTGTGCATGGTGGGTGAGGAGACGCCCTAGGTGTTGGCGGGCGGGAGGTGGTGGGAGGAGAGAAGGTGGACGAGGAACCTGGGAAGACCGGAGAGGGAAGCAGCTGTCGAGCGAGGCGGTGCGCGCCGCTGATTGGCCGGGGGGCGCTCTAGTGGGTCATACAAAAAGAAGCCATTCACCCCGTCGCACTCACCACACGCCTGCGAGATTGGTCCCTCGAATCTGCACCCGCGCTGCTTTTTGCTTCTGGTCGTGTGTCGTGCGCTGTCGCCTCAGGCAATGCGTGCTGCGCTGTATGCTGCGAGTGTGTTGCGTCGTGTGGTGGTCGCAAGCGCCCACGGGCCTATCGCTAAACGAGCATAGCTGACGCTCCGACAAGGCTGGCTATTACGAGTACACCATCATGCCATGTCCGAGTAAGAATAGAAATCTAGAATACAGCTCCCCGTCGTCGCTCATCGCCCTCCACGCAACCCTCCCCACACGCATCAAACAGGCTCGGTTGCGGGAGAAACAGTCCGTGTGACGAAATCGCCCAAACACTATCTCGAGAGCTTGCCTCTGCACATCTCTTGGTATCAGAGCCCAGAGCGTGGTTACGTCTCCCCTGCAGTGCGATGACGGCTGCCCGCTCGCCAGGCTCAATCAGGCAAATCGCACCCTCTAGTCGGCACCACAGCCGAGAAGCGTCCTGCGCGGATGCGGCACTGAGACACTGCTGCGTCGAGTCACTGGACTGCATATTTTTCGTCGCGTCTAATACTATCGAATTGCATGAAGTGAATACACTGGGTTAACAGTGCCTAGTCAATGCTACAGACTATTACAACTCTCTACAAGACTAACACTCTCTTCGTCTCAAACACTAACCAAACTATCCTACAGCTACACTTCCACCATGCTAATAGCGCATGTACGTGCGACGCGGCTCGCCCACAAACGGCTCCGAAGCCACCTCCATGGGTCCTTCTTCAACGTATCGCCTGCTCTGAGGTGCGCCAACATAGCGACGCTCGTCGAAAGGCTCCTGCATCACACTGACCTCACGGAATCGAGGCTGTGATGCGCGAACAGCGGACGGCTGGATGCTCTCGTGTCGGACGTAGCCTTCCGGCACTTCTCGACGAACAACTTCTGGCCGCATACTGTACGATCGCGCTGAAGCATACTCTCGTGGCGGGCCCATCTCCTCGTACTGTGGCGCAGCGCGGTATTCCACCTCTACAGGACGGCGAGAGGGTTCTCTCTGCCTGTACGGGCTCTCAATCATTTCAGGCTCCGAGGCCTCAACATAGCGTCGAGGAGGCGGGGGCATTCTCTGAACAGCTTCTTCTTCGTACATTTCCGGTCGTGCCGGTGCACGCATCGTGGGCTCCCGCGTCACAGCCCGCTCGTAGTATGGCTCAACCTCCACTCGCCTGCTAGGTGGTGCCATCGACTCTCGCGCATCCATTGGTGCCGCATAGTACTTTTGTCCATACTGATCCACCACAATTCTGCGTGGCGGCGGAGCCATGAGCGGCTGAGAGGGCATGTATTCATGTATAGGTGATCGCGAACGTTCGCGTACGTATCTGGGTGCGGCTGATGGGCGGGCTGAAGCTTCGCGGAAAACGGGCGCCTCGGCGCGTTCGACAAAGGCATGCGATGCTGCGCGAATCTGTCGTGGCTCGGGCGCTGCGTACATCTCGTTGACACCACCTGGCGAGTAGGGGCGTCGAGCATATTGCAGACTTGCGACCCGCCTGAGGTCCTGTTCATCGCGCAACGATTTCCGCTGCGGCGTGCGTATGACGGTTGGGGACAAGGGCTCGTCGTACTCGCGGTAAGATCGTGCCATAGGTTCCGGGTCGCGGTAGTAGACCGGCTGTGTTCTGGGGCTGCCTTGCGCAGAAACAAGCTCTACCTCATCGGGATGAGGCTGTAGCGCACGACGCTTACTAGGTTGTGAGTCGGGATAAGCCGTGAAAGGAGGTGGTGACTGCGGCTCTTCCTTGATGTACGGTTCTGGCGAGTTGACAACACGTTTGTTGGCCTGCTGCTGACGCTTCTTCTCATCGCGCTCGCGTTTCTCTTCTCGTCTCCGCTTGCGAGGGTTGTGAACTGGTGCTGCGGGACCGGTCGGACTTTGACGGCGTGATCTGCGAAACGTTAGCATGATTACAAGAAGGAAAATAGATGGAAGACAGGAAACTGGAATATAGATATGCAAGGACAGCTATGACTGATCTCGAGGCAGCAGAGATGGTGACCCATAATACAGCGACGCTCGCTACCAAACTCAGGGTCATGCCACAACCTGGATGGACGAACCTCTCGCGAAGCAGGTCGCTGACTCAATGTGCGAGAAGAGAATGGAAGTGAGAAGAAGAGAAATCTTATAGTATCATACCCGTTCGTGCCGCCATGGCGGTTGCGCTGCCGACCCCTCAAGGGTTCGCTTGGACCAATCTCGGCTGGAGGTGGAGAGTAGTCTTCCTCCTCCTCGCCTTCCTCGTGCAGCTGTGCAGGCTCAGGCTCATAGATTTCTATGTCATCGGCCGGCTCGTAAGCCTCTTCGTCGAGGTCGATCACAGTGGGCTCGGCTGGGCGAGAGTGGACATTCACTTGCTGAGCTGTGGGCTGCGCCTGCGATGTCAGTGGAGCTGCATCAGCATGCGTGTGGTCAGCGCGATCAACATCCTCTGAGGACCAACTGTTCGCCTTGCTAGAGTAGTACGAGTTTTCGTCAAATGACTCAACGTCGTCGCTGTTGTTAGTCGCAGACGGTAAGCCAGATACAGGCGGGACCAGTTGGTGGGCCTTGATCAAACACTGCTCGACGTCGATGAGAGCTTCTCGCTCGTCTGCATCGTTGCCACGGCCCTTTTTATCGAACTGGTCCTTCAGTGCGCGTTCTATCTGCTGCCGCTTGAGCTGCTGTTCCGCCTTGACCAGGTGTTCGGATTTTGTGAGCAAGATGGGATCGATGCTCGAAGAGGACGACTTGGCCGAGTAGGGTCGTTGTGTAGGGGGTATAGGAGACGTGGGAGGGCGTGCTGAAGATGCTGGACGCGGAGGAAATAGTTGCGATGAAGATCCGTTGGGTGTGCCGTTGGTGGTGGGTCTGCTAGAGGCAGTCTGCGGAAGACGCGGTGCAACCTGTTCAATTACTTTGGGTGGAAGATGAATACGCGGGTGTTGGCTAGCAAGCACTTGGTCGCGTATCTGCAAAATCTTCTGGAGGAACTCGGCCTCGCGAAGCACCTCTGCAGACACTGCGCTGGCACCGTTCAGATGCGACGGCACTGCGGCTGTCGACATGGAAGCGATTGGCGCTGCCATCACAACAGACGCGAACTGACTTTAGTACTGAACACCAACAAGCGAGCGCAAGACTGGCGATTATACAAATACAGGCGAAACCCGCAGCTGTGCGGGGTGAGAAGATGATGAAGGGGAATGAGTGTATGGAGAGCAACACGCCAGCGAGTGGGCAATGAATGTCGGAGCCACGGCGCGTTTTGGTTTTCAGCAGGTGCACGCGCCAGCGCCAGCACTAGGCCCGAAGGGGATGGTGACTTCTCCATGTACCCATCACGCCTTCTACAACTGTGAATGCAGCAATCGCATCTAGTCGAGAGAAACAGTGAAGATTGGCTTTCTTTTGGTCTGTGATCCTGCGACAAGGTATGACGCCAACACTATATCCCGTGCGTCATAACTCGAAACTTACACTAAGCAGACAACCTTTGGAATCTTCCAGCGCCACTTGCCCCGGACACGCATATCCCACCCTTTCGATATCTGAAATCAATCATCGTCTCGAGTGCTTGTCTGGTATCAAAAGAACCAAAATCATGTCGTTCAACACAGCAGCACCGCCAGAGACCATGGAGTACCGGTCACACCCTCAGCATGACTCAACCGCAAACAACAGCGCCGAGGTCGACGAGAACGAGAAGCCAGTCTTCTTTTTCGACATTGACAACTGCCTCTACCCCAAGAGTCTTGATATTCACCGGATGATGGCTGAGCTGATCGATCAATTCTTCCAGAACCACCTCAGCCTGTCTCAAGAAGACGCCAATGAACTCCACTACCGCTATTACCGCGAATATGGTCTTGCGATCGAAGGGCTCGTCCGACACCACAAAGTCAATGCGCTGGAGTACAACAGCAAAGTAGATGACGCGTTACCACTGGAAGATGTCATCAAGCCCAACCCCGAACTGCGCAAGCTGATCGAGGACATCGACACAAGCAAGTGCCGCTTATGGCTCTTCACTAATGCGTACATCACCCATGGCAAGCGCGTCGTCAAGCTTCTGCAGATTGACGATCTGTTCGAGGGTATCACTTTCTGCGACTATGGCTCGGACAAGTTCTACTGCAAACCGCACGTGGAGATGTACGACAAGGCGATGGCGGAGGCTGGCATCAAGTCGAACGAGAAGTGCTACTTCGTTGGTGAGTGCTCATAACATCTCGTATTATTGTAGCCTACTAATACAATGATACAGATGACTCTTACATCAACTGCAAGGCAGCAGAGGGACGGGGATGGAAGACGGCGCATCTGCTTGACGAGAAAGATCCTGCACCTGCTCAGCCGGCCAGCAAGTACCAAATCAGGAGCTTGCAGGAGCTACGGAAGATCTTCCCAGAGGTGTTCAAAAGTTCGTGAGAAGATGCATGGATCCATATGATGGGAATAAGCGATAGACTGGAGTTTGCACGGGCACACCGTGCGTACTTCCAGAACTCTACGACAATGATGATTACGACTAGACGATAGACTAGATTCGAAGAAAGATAGAAGGTCAGTAAATCTAGACGATTTGTTTGGTTTGATGAGAGTAAGGCCTTGCGGTTACCATCGCTCGGTATCTTATCGTTCGCCGAGGACCAGTGCACGTCTCCCTCTTGCGTACCATAGCACCACATCTAGGCAGCAACAACCCTCCAACTCTTCCACTATAAAAAAAACCCCTTCAAATCCTCTACAGAAATAATCAATGAAGACACCAAAGCAATACCAGACCATGTCATCAACCACCCCAACGTCCTCCACCCCACCCGCCCCGCAGTCCTCCGCACTACCCCCAACCCACCCCTTCAACACAACCACCACCAACGCAACCACCCTCGCCGACCCAACTACCCAACTCCCACTCGTCACCGACGCCGTAACTCCAACGCGCAAACCTCTTCTCCGCCTCGAACTCCGCGACCTCTCCTCAAATGGCACCCGCGCCTTCCTACGCCTCACACACGCGTCGCACGCGCTCGAACACGCCGTCGCCACAGTCCTCACACACCTTTACAGCGAGCTCCCCAAAACATGCATACCAGGCACGCGTTCCGTAACGCTAGTCCTCCGCGAAATGGACGGAGTCGCATACACAACAGGTCTCGATCTCGACGACGACCACAAGGAAATCCACCTAAACACGTCTTACATCTCGCACGTGCCCGAGTCGCGGCAGAAGGAAGAGATATTAGGTGTACTCGTGCATGAAATGGTGCATTGTTGGCAGCATAGTGGGTTTGGGAGTGCGCCGACGGGGTTAACAGAAGGAGTCGCGGATTGGGTGAGGTTGAAGGCGGGGTTTGCGCCGCCGCATTGGAAGAGGCATGGGGATTGTGAGTGGGATGCTGGGTATGAGCGGACGGGGTACTTTTTGGAGTGGTTGGAGAAGGAGCATGGGGAGGATGTTGTTAGGAGGTTGAATGAGGGGATGAGGGAGAGGAAGTATGATGGGGAGGTGTTGTGGAAGGGGTGTTGTGGGAAGGGGGTTGAGGAGTTGTGGGAGGAGTACAAGAAGAGTTTGGAGGGGTGTGAGTAGCATTGGGGAGTTGTAAGAGTTGGTGGGAATGTGGATTGGCGTGGAGTATTACACATGGAGGTTCGGAGGATAGAAAGACGCAGGCTATATCACGGACGACTTTACATACCACCAGTACATCATTGTACAGCATTCACCGAACAGTCTCGACTCCCCATCTACCTCCGCCTTCTAGCAGGAGCAGCGTTTCTAGCAGGAGCAGCGTTTCTAGCAGGAGCAGCCTTCCTAGTAGGAGCAGCATTCCTTGCACCTGTAGACCCCGACACTGCCGCTGGTTTCGCAGCACTCTTCGCAGCGTCTCTCCTCTTCTTCTTCTCCCATTCTTTATGCTGGTTATTAAGTTTTTCCCTGAACGCGGCGTCATTCACTAACTCTGCCTTTGCAACTGGCTCTTTCTTTTGCCGCTCAGCTTTAGTCCTCTCTTGTTCTGCTCTTCGAAGCGCTGCCTCGAAGTCGTCGTCTTCCTTCTTCTTGCGCTTCTCTTCCTTTTCTTTCTTATCTTTCTGTTCCTTTGCGGCTCGACCTTTCTCTTGGTCTGCCATATGTTGAGCTCTAGAAAACTCTTCATCCTCTTTTTTCTTGCGTTTCTTTTCTTCTTCCTTTTCTTTGTGCTGTTTCTTTAAAGCTTCGACCTTCTCGTCCTCCTCAGCTTTAAGCTTCTTCTTCTCTTCCTTCTGGATTGCTGCTAGTCTATCTTTCTCTGCCTTTACAGCTATGTCTTTCTCTTTCTTCTGGGCTTTAAGCTCCTCTTCTTCTGCTTTTAGCTTCGCCTGCTCTCCCTTCCGACGCTCTGCTTGAGCGCGGGCGTCCTCCTTCTTCCTGCGTTTCTCTTCCTCTTCCTCTGCCTTCCGTTGTTTCTTGGCGGCTTCATCCTGCGCTTTCTTTTCGTATTTGACTAGACTTTGCTCTTGCTTCGGCTGATCATGGGCTTTCTTTCCAAATAAGACCAGACTTTGCTCTTGTTTCGGCTGATCATGCTCTCTCTTTCCAAACTTGACCAAACTCCGCTCTTGTTTCGGCTGCTCAATCATCAATCGGGCTTCTATTCTCTTCTGACGTTTCTCTTCCTTTTCTTGGTCTCTTCGTGCGGCGGCTCCTTGTTTGGCGGTGGCCAGTGTTACGAGCGTCTGTTCTTTTGCAGGTTTATTAGAGGCTGTGCGCAGTTCCTTCGCTGCAGCTTGGGTGATGAGCTTCTGTTCCTTCGCTTCGGCTTGCATTATCAGCTTCTGTCCCTTTGCGGCTTCTTTGGCTGCTGTCTTCAGCCTCTGTTGCTCCGCCTTCTCGGCCGCTTTGGTATCCGTGGTCTCATGCTTCGCACTCGATCTGAATAAGCTGAATTTTCGATGTTCAGAGCTCTGTGTATGGCTTTCAAGCGACTGGAATTCCCTCGCGCTGGATTTGTGATCCAAATTCTGCTCCTTATCATGTGGCTTGTTATCGATTGCGAGTTGCTTAGCTTCGAGCCTCTTGTCCTTGGCCGCTTCCTTGGCTGCGAGCTTCAGTCTTTGCTTCTCTGCTTCGGCGGCTTTCTTGGCATCAGAGGACTCAGGCCTTATGAGAGACTTCAGTTTCAACTTCTCCTCCTTGTCTTGGGCCTTCTTCTCAGATGCGACTCGTTTAGCTTCGAGCTTCTTCCGGGCCTCTTCCGCTTTTTGAGCATCTTTCTCAGCTTTCGCAGCACTTGGCTCCCCAGACTTATCGGCATGCTTGTTGGTAAATGGAACAACTTCCTTACCAACCTTCTCACCCCCCTTCTTTTCGCTCTTCTCATCAGCTTTCTCAGCCTTGTGCACTATTTCCAGTTTCGATGCTGCTTCCTTCGCTTCGGCTTTCTTCTTTGCATCCGCATCCTTCTTCTCATCCTTAGCCTTCTTGTTGGCGACTTTGGAGTCTGCGTCGGTACTGTCCGACTTCGCTCCACCGTTCTTACTCTCCTTAAGTTCTGCGTCGTTATGTTCAGCATCCTTGTGTTCAGAACCCTTGTTTTCAGAATCCTTATGTTCAGCGTCCTTGTGCTCGGCGTCTTTTTCTTTCTTAGCCTTTCTTAGGGCTCTCTTCTCCTTGATGATATGTTTATTAGAGGGCCCTTTCTCGGTCTTGGCGTTCGTAACATGTTCGTTGTTGATCGTTCGGTTGGTAATCGTCTGATTGGTGATTGTCTGGTTGTTGACCGTCTTGTTGGTAATCGTGTGGTTGTCAATCTTCTGATTAGTCTTTGCGCTGTCTTCTGTGCTCTGCTTTCCCTTGGCTGGACCATCTGCGCCCTTTTGATCTTTAGTCGTATTGTCATGTTTGGTACCCGAGGCAGCAGCTTCTTTCTGGGCGTTAGCTTCTTTCTTCGCGGCTTTCTTGTCTTGATTCGCTTTCTTCTTCGCCGCCCGCGCTTCTTTTATCTCAGCCTCCGTACGCGCAGGTTGTTTAGCAGCATATTTTTGTGTGTCGACTGTGCCTTCCTTAACCGGTTCACCTGCGTTCTCTTGTTGAGAATTGGCGTCATTCCCCGCAGCCTTGTTCAACTTCTTTGCCTCTTTCCTGTCCTTTCTTCCCTGCAAGACCAACTCTCGATCCATCACAGGTTTTTGCTTGGCACCGTTCGCATTCGCGCCGTTTCCGTTGTTGATGCCTTTGCCTTGAGCGTTGGGGCTATTAGGGCTCTGCGCAGCCTCCAAATTTGCCTCCTGCGCTTCTCGTCCCGCCTGTGCGTGTTGCCTTGGTCCTGGTACGCCGTGTATACCCAGGTGTAGTTCATCACCACGTCCATGACTGGCGTGATCTATGTGATTCTCGCCTTGGTGACCACGATCCCTAGGATCGCCGCGCTGCATATATGGGTGTCTTTCTTGACGTAGTCCGTCACCATGTCCTTCTTCGGCGTGCTCCGGATGATTTCCGCCTGGGTGACCATAACCTCTAGGATCGCCATGTCGTGTATCTGGGTATCTTTCCTGTTGATGGCCATGGTTAATGTCCCAATGGCGACCGTCTTGTCGACCCTGTTGTCCTTGTCTCGCATGATCTTGATGATTTCCGCCCGGATGGTCATGACCTCTAGAATCGCCATGTCGCGTATCTGGGTATCTTCCCTGTTGGTGGCCATGGTTAACGTCCCAATGGCGACCGTCTCGTTGACCCTGTTGTCCAGGTTGTCTTGCTTGATCTTGATGATTTCCTCTTGCGTGATTAGGACCTCTAGGGTCACCATGCTGCGCATCTGGGTGTCTACCTTGTCGGTGGCCATGATTTTCGTCCGAGTGACTGCCATGTTGTTGATCATGGTGTCCTTGGGCCTCATTATGTCCTCCAGCTGCCGTGTTCCCATCGGGTGGCGGTCTCGCCATAGCATTACCCGCCTCCATCCGTCGCTCGTCCTCCTCTTCCTGCATACGCTGCCTCTCCTCTTGTTGATGAGTCTTCTTTTCCTGATCAGCTGCTTTCTTGTGCGCTCGCTCTTCGTCTTCACTCTCCTTTCTCAATCTTTTCTCCTCAGCTTCAGTGCCTCGTCGAGCCTTTTTATCTTCTAGTTCGGCCTGGCGTCTCTGGACCTCCATTTCCCGCTCGGCACGCTTTGCTTCTTGTTCCATGGCATGTTCTTCCATACGATGGTTAGCTTCAGCAGCCGTGGCCTCCATCGTGCCGCGCTTCTCAGCTAAATGCATCTGCCTCTGGGCTTCTCGCTCCGCCTTTCTGGCCTCTTGTGTAACGGATCGTTCCTCAATACGTTGAGATGCTTCCTCTGCTCTGAGCTCAGCTTGCTCTTGTGCGCGTTGAGTCTTTTCGGCCGCATCGAGTTCCCTTTGAGTCTTGCGGGCTTCTCTATCGATCTCCTGTTGCTGTTGGCGCTGAACGGCATCCTCGGCTTTACGTTCCCGCATTTCCTCTGCCCGTGTCCTTTTCATCTCTATATCATTCGCCCGCTTAGCCTTCTGGGCTTCACGATCCATCTCGCGCTGTTCTTTTCGCCGTTCATCGTCCTCGGCCTTTCGTTCGCGTTTGGCCTCCTGATCTTCCACTCGACGAGTGTCACGTTCCTCTCGATCAGCCTCTTTCTGCTCATTCTTTCGCTCTTTCTCTTCAGCCTTCTTTTCATCCTTTCGATCCTTCTCTTGTGCTTTCTTCTCATCCTTTGCTGCTTTCTCCTCCGCCTTCTTCGCATCTTTCTCTTGCTTTGCGAACTGGCGGGCTTCGTCTGCTGCTTGCTTCCGAGCAGCTTTATCTGCAACTTCCTGGGCTTTTTGTTGTTCTCGCAACTGTTGCTGTTGGTACTGTGCCTGCTGTTGTGCCTGGTATTCTTCATCGTCTTGGGCACTTTGCTGTTCTTGCCACTGTTGCTGCTGTTGAAAGGCCCGTTGCTGTGCCTCGGCCTTTGCAGCTTCCTGATCAGCCCAATCCGCATCTTCCCTGGCGGCGAGTTCATCATCCGCATACTTCTGCTGCGCCCGTTGCATCTGAAGTGCTTGTTGACGCTGTTCGTATTCGAACTTTCTCCGAGCAGTCTCGTTGGCCGCAGCTACTGCAGCTTCTTGCTGTGCTGCGAGCTCGTCTTCTTCCTCTTCCTCTTCCTGCGCTTGCTGCTGCGCTAGCTGTCTCTGATGCATGGCAGCTTGCATATTCTCTTGGCATTTCCTGTCAATTTCTTGTCTTTGGGCTTGGATCTGTTGTCGCTGCGCTTGACAATGCGCTGCTTCCGCCGCGGCTTCAGCCGCTTCCTGTTCTTGCGCCATTCGCTCGTCTGAAGCCTTCTTTGCCAGTGCAGCTCTGATTTGCTCTTGACGTTGTCGCTCCATTACCTGATCCTGAGAAGGCATCTGCATTTGACGTCCTGCTGACTCGTATGACTGTCCTTGGGAAATCGGTCCCCGCGCTAGATCGTCATAGTCGTCGGTGCCTTCTTCCTCCCCTTCTTCTTCATATTCGTCTTCCGCTTCCTCCTCTTGTATCGAACGCTGGTAGGGCTGCTGCCATAACGGCAGGCTTGTTCGGGAGGGTTGTGCAGGTTGCGGAGGAAACGGAGCAACGTCTTGGAAGCGCTGGTGTTGGATAGGGATATCCTGACGCTGATCTGCTTGTCGCAATTCAGAAGGCGTATATGAATGCACTGGAACTTTTGGACTAGAAGTTTGGCGTTGCTGTGGAGGCATTGCCCGCGGATCATGGTCATTCGGTCCTGGCCTCAGTGCTTCTGGAACCACGGAAGCTTGTTGAGGGTAGCCAACAGGCGGTATCTGAACATTGCTGGCTGACTTATGATGTGGCAGCCCGCCGTCTTCATGTTCGCTGTCGCTCTCAGATGTCTCATCGTCTGAAGTTCGCTCGTAGTCACTGCCGTCAACGTCGCTGTCTTCCAAGTGCTCATCTTCGTCGTCCCCTGTACCTTCAACCTTGCTATCAAACTCCTCTTCCACGTCACTATTGTCTTCTACTTTGTCTCTAGTATCTTCATCGCTGACTTCGCTATGATATGACTCATCGGTGTCGTAGTCATCAGTGGGAAGTCCTTGATTGCGTGGATCAATAGCGACATGAACAGCGATGGCTGGTTGTGCGATCGCCATGATATATGATGTCGTTGGTATGTAACTCGATTGGTTGGACTGGGAAGTGTGTAAGATCAGGCCTGCCTGTATGATGTCATAAGTTGGTGTCTATTTGGGGTAAATATAGAGTTAAAAGAATGGCCTCAGAACACTGGCTACGTCTAGGACTTTATATCTGACATAGGTGATATTCCAAAACAAGATTGTGAAGCTTTCGTTGAATGTGCGGTATTGATGTCGAACTCGGGTGCGTGAAGAGGCTCAGACCATCACCAGATCAGCACCTGGAAGCCTGCGTTGGTCATATCCTGGTGTGTAATCTTGAAGTCTGAGAACTGTGACTGACCAGTTCTTCTGAATTCTTTTCAAGAGCACTTCAATATCTATATTCTAACTGAATTCCTATTCGAGCAACAAGCATAATGACCCCACGATCAAACTTTCAAGTAAAAAGCATCGCGCGTGCTCGTTGTGATATAGCAGTTCTTCAAAAGTTAGAGAGTGAAGTTTAGCCTTCCAGTGAATTGTTTATTACAAGCACGCTGACCATAAATTTAGCTCTCTGGGAGTGTGCAGACATAACCAGACTTAACCACTGCGCTTACACCCATCGCCTAGGATTAAACCAAACAGCCGGGAACTGCACAGCGCTAGAAGCTCTACCAAATCCGAAATTCCCATCTTTACCACCAAATCAACTTCGCAGAGGCCACCTGATTACCAAACCAACAAGCGGCCGCCCACTACTTCATCACACCTCGCCGCGACTAACCATGTGCATCGGCGTCAACAGCGAAGTCTGCCCCGACTGCGGCAACAACGGCAAAGCCCACGACCCCTACCTCCAGGGCGGTACAAAATGGATCCGATGTCCAGCATTCATAAACTCAATAACAGAAAAGGAACCTTCAAGGCCTAAATGCGAATCCATCATGCGCGATCAAATTGGAAAGAAAGGGGACTGTGCAGTCTGTAAATCACGGAAGACATTTGAACAGAGGAAGGCAGAAGGGAAAATGACGCCGAACGAACTGAGACTGGAAAGAATGAGGCTGGCGAAGGAGAGATTTGACAAGGATGTGAAGACCAAGAGGAAGAAATTGTGGGGAGATCAATAGGGCGGATTTGATGATGGAGATACTGGTGCTATTTGAATGGCGGAGGTGCTACATGTGTACTGTGATATTGCAATGTGATTTAGCAGTTTTTGAGCTTAGAAGTGTGAATTTCAATGTATCTGTAAGATATAAATCGCTCTCGAGTCCTCGAAACATCTACTTCCTCAAATATACATAACTATCGATCAAGAAAGCACTACACTAAACCCGCCTAATTACATCGATTTGATATCGACCACGTGTCTAGCCACCCTACTTCCAACAAGCTCAACACTACCAAAGCCGCGTGTCTACCAAGCCCACGAACCAGCAGATCTACCCACAGCAACTCGAACATGTGTACAGGCATCCGCGTCCAAACCTGTCCCGATTGCAGGCAATGTGGGCCAGACCACGCACCGTACCTCCAAGAACATGTACAAATAATTCCATGTGCAGCGTCTAGCGTACCAATATCGGGGATAACTCGCGTCGCCACCAAATGTCCCGGAATGATCTTCAGAGACGACCACACGCTGTCGCGGGGGGCTTGTGCGGACTGTTTGTTGAAGGCACACCAGATGGCCGTGAGAGAGGCCGAATATAAGCAGCAGCAACATGGGAGAAGTGAAGCGAAGAAAGCTCTCAAGGCGGCCGAATACAAGCAGCAGCAGAACCAGAAGAGTGAAGCGAAGAAAAATCTCAAGGCGGCTAAGAGTGCGTGGAAGGCTACTGATCCAACTAAGGCATCTACCAAGAAGATAGCTAAGGATACTGCTAAGAAGACTCCGAAGAAGACCCGGGGCGCCGTGGAGAAGAAGACCCCGAAGAGGACGACTAAGGATATGACTGATCAGGCTGCTGCGGAGGTGTTGGTGAACATGTCTAATATTCAGCATCAGAAATAGGCTGCTTGACCTAGTGCTGAGGGCGGAACCGCAGGATAGGAGGCTCGTGATCGGTAGATGCGGAAGTCTACATGGGAATGTGTCTGATCACTTTACATTTGTATTAGTTCAAGGTTGAGAATCTGGGTTAGCGATCAATGAGAAATTTAGTAACACTCTCTGTACGAATTGATGAACAACGATTGCAAACCCATCTACCCATCAACTTCCCACGGATCTACCTCCACACCCGCAATCCGCTCGAACCGTCTCCTCTGTTTACCCTCCATCGTTGTCCCGGTGAACAACAGCTACGAGGGCCGCGCCCTGAACTCGAAGGCGCAACCCACTTAGACCTCTTCTGCACCGACCACGGATCTACATCCACACCCGCACCCATAATCCGCTCGAACCGTCTCCTCTCCTCTATATATACCTCGTTCTTCCAACTTGTCTCCCAAGCCTTGCGCAAATATGCTCTCGTTGTCTTGATGAATTGCTCCCGGGTCTGACGTCCTGGGAATCTTCTCACATTTACATCCACACCCACATCCGCAGTTTCCAGGACGATGCGTCCAGCCGACGCGAGTAGGTAGTATGACTCCTGGCACGGAAAACAGCAGGGTCGGTATGTGAAGGTGGGAAACCAGTTAACTCCAACTTCTCTGCCGGGTTTGTGGAATTCGCCTTGCACAATGTATTGGAGGACGTGGTGTACATCTGCGTAGATGGTAGATAGCTCCTCAAACAGCTCCTCCGGACTTCTTAGACGGGCATTTTCGGAAGAAGAGAGCTGATTGAGCTGGGTGAGTAGGCAGCGGGCGATGGTGATGTGGAAGTGATAGGAATATTCTTTTACTTCGTTCAAAACGGCGCGAATGTATGGAGGGAGACGTCCTCCATCGAAATGCGTATGGTGATTGGATAGACGGTCGATCACGCTGATACCTTTTGTGCAGGCGGCTACGCAAGCCAAGTCATCATTGGCATGCTCAGCGTCATCGGCGCGTTCCCTGTGTATCGAAAGCTCAGTGAGGAGAACATGAGCATCGGGCCAGTGTGGTTGTTTGACGATTTGCATCGTGTCTTGTAGAAGATCCTCATGGGTGCAGCCTTCAATCTTGAGACGGGCGCAGCGACGGATGCCATCTCGTATGGGTTGTAATAGCTGTTCTTGTATACGCCGTGAAGGAACCTCGAAATTTCCTTCCTCATCAGTGTTCGTACCTGCGTTCAGTATGACGCGTAACTCCACTCCCATATCTGGTGCTTTCATGCAGCCATGGTACATCCTTTCAGTCTCCAATCTCTTGCAGAACTCGCTCAGGTCCGACAACAGCATCACTATCCTGGTTGTCAAGGAGCGAGAGGAGCGAGAGGATTGAAGAAACCGGCCGAGCTGAAAGACGAGGTGCATCTCATAATGCGGGTAGACCTTTGGCTCTTCTTCGCTCAAACTGGGGTGCGGCTCAGGTATGCAGCCACCAGTGTGGCTTATGGAAAAGATGTGGATCGGTTGGCTGGGCCCGTGGAACCAGTCTTGTATATTGGCATTCTGAACCTCGACGCACACGAAAATGTCACTGCTTGACAGGAAAGGCTTTGCTTCCTCATAGATCTGCTTGTTTGCGAGGAGTATATTAATGCCAAGATGTCGCCGCTTTACTATGGGTGCCCCCGCATGCAGGTTTGAGTATTCGTGGATAGTATAGGGAGCTGTTCGACAGCTATCGAAGCCTAGCGCAAATTCGTAGATATTGTCTCGTAGCTCGCGTGGTAGATCAAGAAGGCGGAAAGGCTGTTCAGTGAGGTGAGTGTTCATGATGCTTGACAGGAATTGTGGTGTAGGAAGGTAGGAGCGTTCAAGGTGCTGAAGGCTGCTTATACATGGCTGGCAGTAGCGGCTCGCTTCACTGCATGTGTCTAGCGCATCGGATGATAAGAGTCAGACCCTATTGAACCGAGACAGTCATTGCTCTTAGCTTAGACTGCTGCCTGAGCTTCGGCAATCGCCAACAATAATAAGGCGTAAAAGCCGTAAAGTATTATAGTATTGACAAGGGCGTTACGCAAACTCGTGGCATTCGCCTCTCGGACCGAATCCAGATAATACGCCAATAGGATAACCGCACTGAAGCGCTACAATACATGCCTAGGCAAGCAAGTTTATAACCGTCCCATCCTGATACCCCTCAACGCCAGAATGTCCGCTCGCCGGCATGACCATCAGTGTGCGTCGCAAAGTCCAGATCCATCGTTGGCTAAACCAACGGCTTGTGTCAATCGTTGACAATTCTTACTCAACGCCCTCGACTTTCCTCAGAAATTCCCTGACACGGCCAACCTCCACACCCTCGCCTTCTTCGCTGTCCAGAGCCGCCACCAGACCTTCGAGACATTCTTCAATCCTGTTCTCTTCTACCTTTGTGCATAGACTGACGACCTTGCGGTACATCATCTCCAGTTGCCCGTCCTTCTCTTTCAGCATCTTACTCCGTTTGAGTAGTGCACCGTTCGCGTTCGTGTAGGTGTGTAGTCGTTGTTGGAGGACGGAGGCGGCGGGGAGTTGCTGGACTGCATAGGCCTGATATTGTGGCTGATGCGATACCTGTTTGAGTGTTGCAGGATCCAGTGGAATGGTTGTCGACAGATAGGGGGCTCCATCTGATGCGCGGCAATCCAGATGGTCGCCTGCTTGCCGGAGCTCGTAAGGCAAGTCGTCTTCTTTGATGAGCATGCCTGCACCTTCCGCATCGGCGTATCCTATCCTCTTCTTCTCGTGCAAATCGATGTCCCCTGCATTGACAGAAAGCATATGCCGTTGCGGCTCAAGCCAACGCTTCAGATTCGATATCCGCTTAGCGCGATCTTGTCGTAAACGTAACCGAGCACGTAGTGACTCTAGCCTTTGTTGCTCCTGCTTCTGTTGAGTAGATAGTTGGGTGATCAGCTCATTCGTTTGATCTATGGTGTCTTGTTTCAGACGCGCTTCTTGCGTGAACTGCATTGAAGCGGACTGGAGAATGCCATTCATCACTGTAACCATATTAGCGGATTTCTTGTAATAGATAGGAATTCCAACTCACAGGGTTGAATCTCTCGGCTAGTCTCTTCGACCTTGCTCAAGGGCGCCTTGCCCTTGCTGGGGCTGTTTGCGGCAATTATGACTTCGCCGTCGCCGAGATCGCTGCCAACACCAAAGTCGATCGGTCTCGTGCCTTTGTGATTGGGTATGGTCGGGTCCGCCTGAACTTCCATGAGCTGAGAGATGATGTTGCGATTGCCTATCCTCGCTGCGAGATTGAGAGCTGTATTGCCGGCTTTGTCGCGTGCGTTAACCATCTCTTGCATAAACCTCATCAATCCTATTGGTTTCGGGTAGTTGCTGGTGTCGTGGAAAGAAGGCACCTGGTTGGCGCCAATGTTGCTGCGTACGAGATACTCAAGAAGTGCCTCGAGGTAGTACTTGCTGGAGGCCGCGCGCCCTTTTATGGCACAGGTCACCGCGATGTGATGCAGTATCGTCCGTCCCTGGGAGTCACGGAGTTCGATAAGTGGCGCCAGGATCTCGAGCGTTTCTGGGAAGCAGCTATGGTCCAGGCTGTTGTTGACGGAGACTGCACTCATGAGTGGTGTTTGACCTGAGGCATTTCCTCTGAACATATTCGCTCCTTTGGAAACCAGTAGCCTCATCAGTGACACGCGGGCCAGTGTGGCGGCCCAATGTAGAGCTGTATTTGAGGTGTTGTCGATTGGCATGTCCAGATCTGCGCCGGAGAGGTGAAGTATGGCTGGATGGTTCGTGAAGTCTGTCCTAGTCTGATCCGCGAATAGATCCGTAAGCATGGCTTGCTTCTCTTCGTTGTGCTTGGTGTCTGGGTGCGGTAGAGGTGGCAGGGCTGAGGGAACCTCGCCATCGGGAAGCGCAATGCGCTGTCCAGTCTGGTGTTGGTAGAAGCTCTCGCTTGGTTCTGTCGGCGAGCCAAGATCGCGCATGGACATGTCTGCGCCGTTGGGTTGTGAGTAGGATTCATCTTGGGATGTTCGCATGCGCTTCCTTGGCGGCTCTTGCGGGTCTTCAAGGCCTGTGCCATAGGCTGAGTCGGTGTGTCCGTTCTGCCCGCTGAAACTACGCTCCGATGCTACGCTTTGCTGGCTGCTGGTGCGGAACGATTCTTGGCTGGCGAGGGGTCCTTGTGACGGCCGTGCCATGCTTCTCCGGCCCTGCGAGGAGGAAGCGGGTCGCGGTGCGGGTGAATTCAGTCGCGCGACCTTGTTCATGGCGGCAAGTGCGCTGGTCGCTGTCGAGGAGATATTGCTGAAAAAGGTACCGCCGACACTCTGGCTAGTAGTGCGGCCGTCCATGCTCTGGGTGTAGAAGCGCTTCCTGTTTGCTGCCATGGCCTGCTCTTTGGTGGGCGTCTCGATGCCCTGGCCCTGGCCCTGGTTGCCATCGACGCTGACATCGTAGTCCAGCAGCGGGCGCAAGACATCCTCGACACCATACTGGCGACAAAACTCTCTGCCGCGGCGGTAGCAGATCCATGTGCCCTGGTACTTGCCGTAGCCGCCCTGGACCTTTTCGTGTTCGCCGTTCAGTATCTCCTTCTCGAGGACCTTGGTGCGCTTTCCTTTGTCGACGCCAGCCACCTTGAGGATCTGGGTGGCATTGAGCCAGCCGTCAGAGCGTCGGCGCATGACAGCGACCCGATTGACTTCCATTTCGTAGACAGAGACGCCCGAGTAAACAGCCTAGATGGTCAGCGACTTGGTGCGACTGCGCAAATGCGGTGGTGGTGGTGCCTACGGTGTATATCTGGGGCTTCTCCATGGCGTGCTGCTGGTAGCCGTTCATGTCGGAAAAGGACCGGTTGAAGCCAGCGGGCGCGGCCATGAGTCCCTGGCTGTGTGGAGAGTTGGCGTACATGGCCGACTGGGGCGGCGAACCTGCGGGAAAGGATAGCGACGAGCGCGCGACTTGCATTATGTCAGCGCAGTGCTGGCGGGCGTGGTGATGGTGACTGTACGGGTCAAACGATCATGGGGGCAGGCGCGGACAGAGGCTGGGCGCAGCGTGGGCAGGTGCAGTCGGGGTGCGCAGGCGTGGGCCGTAAGCGGAAGCCTCGGTGGAGTGTGCGATGTGCGATAGGCGATATGCGCCGTATCAGGACTCGATGTTGATATGCGGGTGGGCGGGGGGTGAATGTGCCGTCGCTCGTCGAGACTCTAGAGGAGTGGAGATTCCAGAGGTCGCGTCTACGCGTCGCGGCCAATCAGCCGCCGCCCGACTTTCCTTGCCCAGAGCACGGCCACGACCCGTCTGCTACCTTCCGGCTCGTCTCCCGCATGCCTACGCCATTCCAGCAGAGCGCGTCACGTCTGCGGCCAGTCCATCTGCTGCGTGCCCTGCTGCGTGAGGCGTCGTACCTGCCCGATGCCATAGCCCGCACCTACTTCCGCCGCTACATTGTCAGCCGATTCAAGGCGTATCAGCCCAAGCAAAATGCGACGGCTTCCTTCGACGTCCAGGCCGTTGAGAAGTACAAGCACAGGAGCTTCAAAAGGCGGCAGATGGCGATCATCAATGAGCGCACACGACCAATGCTGAGGAAGGGGCAGAAGGGCCTGAACTTCCTGCGGCGGGCCAACCTGGGCGAGATACCATGTCTGCAGAAGGTGCTGTTCTTCGCCTATGGGCGCATGGGAAGGAGGAAGTACATCTTGCTGGAGAGGTTGCTGACGCCAGACCATGTCATGGACGGCGGCGCACTCGCAACGCCCGTCGACCCAGGGCAGGCACCGCTGCAGAAGCTCTATTACAGCAACAAGCGCTGTCTGCAGTATTTCGATGCGCCCAAAGCCGCCTCCAAGACCGAGTACACCATCAACATCTCTAGCCGCTACTCCCGATTGCGCGCCGTCCTCAAGTCGCAGTACCAGAAGGGCATCTCCATACACCGAGGGATCAAGCGTCCAGCCATGAAGACGCCTATCAACAATGCCTGGGAGCGACCCATGCCGATCAAGCGCGCCATCAATAATGTCCGACGCTGGTATGCCGAGACGATGACGAGGATACTTCCTCCACTACCGACGGAAGAGTGGGACAACATAAATGCCATGGTTGTTGGGGACCGAAAGATCGATTTGGTCAGACGGAGAGGTCGCGCTTCAGTATTGAGTGCTGAGCCAGTCGTAGAAGACGACTTCTTCGCCCGCACAGTAGCGGAAGGCATTGCCTTAGACAAACCCAGCCGGGCAGACATGCCTGCAGGCGTGCAGCGACCGCATACCATCAACCCTAGGTTCATGAAACGCATGTATACAAAACTCCTCACGCTCTGCTGCAAGGTCGAGTACGACGACGAGCAGAAGCGATGGAAAGCAGTCTGGGGCGAACCTATGAAGTACATCAAACCCAGCCTCTACAACGTCCCTACAGATGAAGCGCTCTTTGCGGGTGTTGATGCTACAGGCAAAATCCCGAAGACACCCAAGAAGCATCTGCTGGAGAAATCACAGCATGTCCAGCCACGGAATGCCGAGGGCGAATACATGCGTTTTCCCTTCTTTGCCGAACGGCTTCCAGAGGAGCACCCAATACGCAGGGAATTGGATGAATGGAAGAGGAAACGTGCTGCCGCGAGAGGACAAAAACGGGAAGTGTCGTAGCCCTTGAGGCGGGGCACTAAGTACATACATACCCCACAAACTTGGAACGCGGTTAGTAGGGCACGCCTTACATGTACATAAAGTAAGCAGCACCCCGCAACCTACCTTGACCACAGTGCATTGAGCAACGTTTTGACAAGCACAATGGCATCTTCAAGCGCAACAATTCGCCACGCGACCCGTGAAGGTAGAGTATCCCCAGCCTACAGTAGAAGCCTACTAACAGCCTGTGCCGATGTTCCTACCATCCTAGCCCTTATCAAGGAGCTTGCGCTCTACGAAAACGCCAGTGACAAGGTTGACTCAACTGAAGAAATCCTCACGCGCACCCTCGCACACTACAATCCCTCCACATCGACCTTCTCCGAAGGCTTCGCCCGTACACTCCTCCTCAGCGACCCCGATGGCACGGTAGCAGGCATGGCTCTATACTTCTACAACTACAGCACATGGACAGGCGTGCCAGGCATTTACCTGGAAGACCTGTTCGTCAAGGAGAGCTACAGGAAGAAGGGCTATGGCAAGAGACTCCTCAAGGAGCTCGCTGGAGAGGTGCTCAAGGTCGGAGGCAGGAGGCTCGAATGGAGCTGCCTGGACTGGAATGAGCCCAGTCTGAAGTTCTACGAGAGCGAGATCATAGGGGCGCAAAGGAAGACGGCATGGGTAGGCTTGCGTGTGGATGGAGACGCATTGGAGAAGCTTGCGAAGTCATAATCTTGAGAGACAAGAACCTATCTGATGATTGCTGAGACTTGGCTCATTCTTGTTTGCTCCTGTTTGCTTGAGGAACAGCCACGTGAGCACGCGTAACCAGGTCCGTGCGCTACAATCGTCATAACGTCTTACAACAACGACTGCACATGTACTCTTTACCCCTCAGGCCTCAGTCAACTCAAGTTACAGCTCCCTATACTTTGTAGCTCGCAACACCACCATGGCCAGCCCGCCATTCATGGTCGAATCGGCTGAGATCAAAAGCTGTTGGGAGCAGCTGCGCAAGTGAGTTATTATGAATGTAACGCAGTCGGGCAGCAGTACTAACACATCACAGACTACTAAAGCACGAGTACGAACAGACTGCGCTCAACGAGATCCAACAATCTGTCAACCTACATGAAGGCCTTGAGGATATCCTTCACCTCACCATCGACGCAGATGGTTCCCCGATACCCACTATTGATAGTATCAAATCGAATTTGGGAGTTGCGCGGGATGTCAGCAAGGAAATCAAGGAAGCTACAAAAGCCTACAATGTCGCTGTATGCCGTACTATCGGACCTGCCGTGTACGGAAGATTACCCCGAGAACTCCGCGATATGATCTACGGGTATTTGACTACGCGTCTAACGTATATCTGCTTCGAAGATGTAAAATTTGTCTTGGACAATGCCGATACGTATTCTATCTGCCCAGAGTGCTACTGGCGACCCGATGTCATCGGTTCTGAAGTAGCTCATGAGCTCAGAGAATCTTGGTACCGGGACACGACGTTCTACGTCGAGCGCGATCAGTCCACCGAGTACCTGGTCAACAAAGACTATTTCAACGCAGGTCTGCAACCCCGCGAACTCATCACCAACCTCATACGCCGAATCTGGATCGAGGAAAGAGAGACAGAAGCAGCAAACGCGCAGATCCTGAGATATATCGACGAGCTGTTCCTGTTGAGGACAGTTACACATTTATGTGTTGATTTGAACATGTCTAACCTCAGGCTCATTGACAAGGGTAGGATGTTCAGGGGAATTCTGCAGCTTATACGTCCGACGATTCTACATCTGCGAAGATCAGGTTATCAGTGTAAAATCACAACAAGCGACGACCGATTTGGGGAAGGCATGTTTCTTGGTACTATCAAGCAGTGGGAGGACGAGCTTGAAAGGGAGATCGAGAGGGGCGATAGTACTGCGCGAAGCGGTGTCTAGGCGGAAGGGAGAGGACCTGCCGTAACAGGAAGAAGGCAAGCTATATCCCCAATTGCGTTCTCGAGTTTTCTGGGCTCAACCAGAATATACCGAGGAGCGTAGGAGTGCCCATCGGTTAAAGATTGCGATAACGTGGTGGACAACCATGACTCATGGGTGACAACCAGTTTTGTGCTTGGTTTGAACTTGGAGGTTGAATTTCAATACCACAATAGTGGCCCCATCACGTCTGGTCTCGAGTTCATCGATATCTAAGAAGATATAATTTCCATCTCGCTATTCCCTCTACTATGCTCAGCTGCGATTCGAACAACATGAGTCCAGCTTACGTACATCTCTAGGCCCCTCTCGTCAACAATCACCGGCGGCAAACTCCCTCATCAAAAACATCGAATGCCCAACTTTCTGCCTTCGGTTTTCGGAATCCATCGTTGGCCGGTCCGAGACGAATTGAGGTCTCGGGGGGCTCGGAAGTCTTGGGCCGTAGAAGGACCGACCCGTCAGTATCGATCAAGATGAGTACGCGTGGATCATGACGGCAACTCTAACGATCAACAGTGTGCGAATGTAGTTTCGCAAGACGAAATATGGTGGGCTGGCGATACACAGCACATCTCTCCAAGTAGGAAGATGTCGGAGTGAATGAAGTAAAAGTGCGCGCTAATTTTAACATGACGGACATATCCATTGTAAGAAGGATCTCCATTCTACGACCATATTCACGAGATACCATAGCAAAAGTAGCGACCACTACCCATTCATAACAACAAGGTACAAGGTAGCGGGTATCTTTACCTAGAGTTTTCGGCATAATACCCAATCTACGAGTTTCCTCGTGGTAGCCAGCCGGACTTTGCACCGCACCATCGCACGACATGCGGTTGATTAGTTTAAGACTTTCCCATTCGAGCCGATGACAAAGAAAGAGGCGGCTTAGAGGGCATGTCAGGTTCCACAAAATCCAGCCACGAGCTGACAACTCCAGAAATCACAGGGATTGGGGGTACACACTCCGCTTCGGAAACATCACCGGTCCGAAGCCGATGAATTGTAGATTAACGGGGAACTTACTTACCTTTCTTAGGCATAGCAAGTCGAACGGAATATAGAAGCCTCACTACTGAATCGAGTCAGCTATGCTGACCACTTGCTTGATTGCGCTGTCCTTGCGAATAACCTATCTCGGACAGGTAGGACCTTGTGTGCTAGCAAGGTAACACACGGCTGAGCATGTACTGACAGTCAGAAGGTAACGGCCCTTCTGGTCGGATTCGGACGCTGACACACTTCCACGGCTGGGATTCAGGCCTCATGGATAGGTTCAAGAATACCTGCACGCGTAGACATGGGGTAGTCAGTATATATGAGGAAACTGCTCATCGATGTTAAGACACCACCAACGAACATCTCAGCTTCCAAATCTCCACCACAATCGTTACCGCCAGTATGCATTCTCAGTTCATTTCTCGTCGGATCGGGAAGAGTGCCATGCTCCTCCTGCTCTCCTCCTACCTTTCGAGCTACGCATTTGCGACGGCAGTCCCTGAATCCGTCGATGTCGCCGTGATAGGCGCAGGACTTTCAGGCTTAACAGCAACACGAGACCTTCTCCGCGGCGGCAAATCCGTCATCGTTCTCGAAGCCAGGGACCGTGTCGGCGGTAAAGTCTATAACCACCCACTGAAGAATGGGGGCGTCACGGAAGTGGGCGCGGAGTTCGTCGGCCCAACGCAAGACAAAGTGCTGGAGATGATTACCGAGCTGGGACTGCAGATATTCGACACGTACAGCGAAGGGAAATCCATCTTGTGGAGGAACGGTACTCGAACGGCTTATACTCCTGATCCGGCACTTGGTGGTTCGCCGCCCGTGGACATGGCGTCTCTCCCTCTGGTTGCCAGTGCGCAGAAGCAACTGGACGACTGGGCAGCTGAGGTCAACACGAGTGCACCATGGACGCACCCTAAAGCTAAGGAGCTTGACAGCATGACGTTCCAGCAGTACATCGATCAGGCAGCACCCCACGCGGACGCCGCCCTTGTCTTAACCACAGCCAGCAAGGCCATCTGGGCTGCGGAGCCACGAGAACTCTCGTTACTCTACGTCGTCGCATACATCGCAGCAGGCGGAAACGAGACCAACGTTGGAACACTGGCTCGACTGATCGGCATCCAAGGCGGAGCTCAAGAGAAGCGAGTCGTAGGCGGAACAGGACTCATCCCAGAGCGACTCGCCGAGAAGGTCGGACACGAACACATCGTCATGAACGCCGCCGTATCAACTGTCACCAAGACATCGAACGGCTACAAAGTAGTCTCCCGAGCCGGAACGGTCCACGCAAAGCAAGTCGTCCTCGCCATGGCGCCTCCCCTCCTCCGTCAAATCACCTTCTCACCCGCCCTTCCTACCACCCGCCAACAGCTCAACCAAGCAATGAAGATGCCATCCATCGGCAAAGGCATCCCCATCTACAGCACACCCTTCTGGCGCAAGACCGAAGGCCTAAACGCCCAAGTCATCTCCGACAACGGATCCACACGCGTAACCTTCGACTCCACACCCGAAGACACCAAATTCGGCGCCCTCCTCGGCTTCCTCCTCGGCGACGAGATGCGCGCGCTCGACGCCCTCACCCCGGCCCAGTGCGAAGAGAAGATCCTGTCAGACTACGTGCGGTATTTCGGCGAGGAAGCAAAGAACAACACGGAGTTTGTGTTGCAGCGCTGGGACTTGGAGGAGTGGTCCAGAGGAGGACCTGTGGCGGTTGCTCCGCCCAATGTGCTCACGAAATATGGTCAGGCGCTGACGATGAGGGCCGAGGGGTTGCATTTTGCGGGCACGGAGACGAGTCCGTATTGGACTGGGTATATGGACGGAGCTATCCGGAGTGGAGAGCGTGTTGCTAAGGAGATTATGGGTATGTGGTATTGAGACTTGCGAGGATTGGGGTAGTAGTCATGGTAGTTGTAGTTGTATCTGTAGTGGAGGGGTTACATCGTGATCTTGCCGTCCAAATCTGTGATTAGAAAAACCTACCTCTGTCCCCGGACATCTTTAGCAAAGAAAATGGGATACTCTTTCCAGCAAGACGGGGTCGTGTCATATTTTGGGTCGCCGGAAAGCAGGAGTCTAGGTTCTTAGTTCCCAGCGCCATATCCGGGGAAAGGTGTTCGTGATCGACAGGCCCGCGCGGAATATACTTTCAGTAGCTGGGGTTGCTAACCTGCGAATTGCTTACCTTGACGCCAGATCGACATGTCACGGTGAGCCTCGGCTCCACCGTACACCATGAGGTTTGTGTATAATAGGAATCCGTAGGATGTTGTATTTGCTTTTTTATCACCTCAGCATCATTCTGACTCGTGTTTCGCTCTTACAATCTCATACCCGCTTCAAATCACTGATTCAATCGCAAGATACCTCATCGACATCATGCACTTCTCACTTCCCCTCCTTCTCCTTCCCGCCATCGCTTTCTGCGCGCCTGTTGCGGAAATCTTGCCTACGGCGCAGGATGTGATAAAGTCTGTGGTTAACATCCACAACGCTGTTCTCGAGCTCGATCAGAAAGTACTAGCTTTCCAGGGTGGCTCCTTCGAAACTGCCTTTGTCGAAGGCAAAGAAGTGCTCGCGGGCGTAGCGAAGATCCACGAAGTAAACCGCGAAGGGTTCCGACGAGCAACCCTAGCTCTGCCGCCATTCTCCATCAAGGATACTACCGATGTGATCAACACCGTCGTAGCAACTGGTAGGTCATCATCACGGCCCTTCCTGCACAGACAGAATGCTAACACTCGCTGTGAATAGTCAACGTCAGCATCCCGAACGCGACCAAGCACCTACAAGAGAAAGAGCCCGTGTTCAAGGCGAACGGCTTCTCAGCCGTCGTTATCGCCAGTCTGGCGCTGTTGGAGTTCGACCACGACACGTTCAGCGCGGCAGCAGCGAAGAACTTCAATCTCGCTACTCCCAAGCCGAAGTTGGACGAGGGCATCGCGGCGGCAGCGAACATCCACAAGGTTATCCAGGATACTATTGTGTTCTACACTGTAAACGCGGTCGTGTGAAAGGGAGGGTCGTACCCCAGGTGGTGTATAGCGGTGTAATATCTGCCCTTAAAAGGTGCCACGCATGCGCAATTAGTAGGAAGTCGCGTCCGTATCAATACAAACACGTGCCCCATGTATCCGCCTGCATCTGCACCTGCACCCGCACCTGCACATGCAGAGAAAAGTAAACATGCCACCGATGACGTATCAGAGTGATCGCCCACCAACCTTGTTTCTCCTCCACAGTCTAGATGCCGCTAGCTCTCCCGTAGCGCTCCATGCCATCATCCATTGTCAGCCTCAGCCCCAACTTTTCGGGCTCTGTGATCTCCAGACTTCCCTGTTGCACATCACCACTCCCGTTGTTCCTGCCAAAGTAACAATACCACCACAGTACACTCGCTGCACGACAACCCCCCAGCGAAATTCCTCACAATGGGTATCTGCGGCAGCAAAGAGAAAGCGGGCGAGTCGACCGAAATGGCGCGGCCCTCACAGTCACAAAACGCAGCATCAATCGCGCAAACCCAGCAAAACATTCCCGTCGCCAATGAAGGTCCCACCGTAAAACCGCGCAGGTCCCCCGACAACCCCATCGTGTACTTCGACATTGCGATTGGCGGCAAGCCAGCCGGCCGCGTGCAAATGGAACTCTTCCTCGACGTTGTACCTGCGACATCAGAGAACTTCCGCCAGTTCTGCACAGGCGAGGCGAAGCGCGGCGGCGGGTACAAGGGCAGCACTTTCCACCGCGTTATTCCCAACTTTATGATTCAGGGAGGCGATTTCATGAATGGGGATGGTACGGGGAGTGCGAGTATCTTTGGGGGCGATTCGTTCGACGACGAGAACTTTGAGCTAAGGCATACGCATCCTGGGCTGTTGAGTATGGCGAACTCTGGGTACGTGAACTCTTGTGTGGGATGATAGCTTGACGTTGCTAATATTTCCACAGGCCCAACACCAATGGTTCTCAGTTCTTCATTCTGACTGCTGCGACGCCGCATCTTGATCGCAAGCACGTCGTATTCGGGGAGGTGTTGGATGGTATGGATGTTATAAGGAAGATCGAGGCGACAAGGACTGGCCCCGGTGACAAGCCATTGAGCGATGTCGTTATCGCTGGATCAGGGCAGTTGTCAGGCGCAAAGCCATTGGCTTAAGACGGGAGGAGGTAATAAAAGCAGGTCGTCTCGCGGTACATAGGTTTCCAGGTCTTGGAATCGTAATGATAATGTAATACATCTCTGCAACACAGTGCAACTATACTTCACCTAGCAGTATATCTTGCCTTGAGATTCTATCAATATTCATTTCAAGGCTAATGTAGACCGCAGCGCACCTGTTCAGTTCTTTCTATACAAGACACTCCTGCTATTGTACCAGCTCGCCCAGCTCCGCCATCTGGATACGCATAGCTTCCTCCTCCCAGAACTCCGCCAGCTGCTCAGCTCCCCTCCTACCACCCCACTGTCGCCCGCCTTGGTCCATATCGCCTTCGACTCCATCCATGAGGCGCCGAAAGCAGCTCTTGAACTTGGGTTCGTTGAAGTGGTGGTAGGGGTGGTCCGGATTGAGCCATGCTGAACAGATATAGCAGAAATGTGTTTGGCACTGCGCGCAGGTCTGCAGAGACACGAAGTCAGTATGTGCGCCATAAGCATCTTATGAGGGTCGGAACTTACCATATGGTTGCAGCCGTAACCTTTCTGGCAGGGTACAGAGCAGTATGGGCATGGTGTCGTATTCTTCATGATAAAGTTGAGCGATGCTTGGTCGTCCTCGGTGAGCTCTGTGACATTGCGTGGCTCGCAGCGTACGAAGTCTCCGTGCCACGATGCTAGGCAGATGACACAAAAGGCAAGGGTGCAATCTTCACAGACCTGCAACCGCTCCATACCTCGTACCCCGACTCCACGCTTTTCCGGGCCGCTTTCGGTCTGGGTCTCCTGTGGTTGAGCTGGGCCCTCATCGTCTGCTTCAGAATCTGAATCGTCCATCTGCGTTACGTCCGTAATCTTAGGGTATTTATCAGACCGCATAGCGCCTTGACACCATTTGCGCGGACAATATACGATGTTCGGGTCGGATTCGATCTTCTTCTTCCGCTTTATCTTCGCGTATCGCTCGACCTGGTCGCGGGATATAGGGATTTGTAACAGCTCCTTGGGTGACAGTAGCCGGTCCTTCTTCTTCCCACTACTACCGCACTCCGTAGACATGCATTTGATATTGTTGACGTTTCCCTCTGTTATACAGCTGTCGTAGTATTCCTGGAGGCAGTTGATGCAGAAGACATGGCTACAGCGGGCCATGCGATAGCACGCGGATCCCTTCTTCGGCTCGAGACAGACTCCACAATCGAATGTGTCTTTGTCAAACAGTTCCTTCTTCATCCGCCGACTATAGTCAACCAGCTCCTTCTGCATGGACGAGGGTAGCGTGAGGTCTTCCAGGCCAAAGGCATTCTCGGCCTGTTCTTGGAGAGAGCTGATGTACGAGAAGAGTATGGAACCACCTCCGTACTCCTCCCAAAGTGTCTTCGCTTCGGTTGTCAGTCGGGCCTGTAGATCCTCGCGGATCCATGAAGGCGAAGTCGACAGTCGAATTACAGGCGGTAGATGTTCGGGATATTCGGCAGGCAGTATAATTTCGAGGCGCAGCGGAGGGAGGTATGGGAGTCGTTCGACATCTTGCTGTGGCTCAAAGGTGATAGGTAGAGGCTTGGCGGGTGCGACGAGCAGTTCGAGAGTGGCCGAGTACGGATCGCTATCGTTGATGACCAGCTCCGGGTAGATGGACTGCAGCGTGCTGAGCTCTTCGGCGCGCTCGTCTTCCAGGTTGAACTCGGTCATAGCGGCAGATGTTAGGAATGCCGCGTTTCTATCGGCGAGCGGGTTGTATATGAAAGTGGCGGCGGCGGAGAGAGGGCGGAGATAAGTCGAATGCGGTCGCAACAAAGTGTGAAAAGGGCGTGGCGACTCTCTTCTATCGATAGCGCATAAAGGCAAAAGCCCCCTTGAAGAGGCCCATTGTGAGTCAGGCGCTGGCTGCAATCACTGCGATTCCATAGAGGCTTTCAAGAGCCAGGCCGTAGCAGCAGATGCGAGCATGTATGCAGCACAATCCCATCACCGAGGCATCTCGCATGCCAAGGCCGGCAGGGTACCGCCGGGATTGCGCCGTCATGGACACGGCATGCGCACCCTTCACTCTTGACACGCTGCACCTCCCACGTGAAGTTGCTATGGAGGCCCCTCCGCTTGCGTCGCTGTCCTTGACGCATGTCCACTATGTTGGTCTCATCTACTGACAGCCAGAGTCGCTGCTAATCCGCCCAGAATCCCGCCGACCGCGTCTCCTACCTCTGCGCATGGCTTGCGCTTGTGCCCCAGGGACTGTGCGTCGTTTATGCGACGCTGATATGGTCAAATCGCGAGATTGAGATATTCCTCATGTTTGCTGGCCAAATGGCGTGTGAAGCGCTCAACTGGGTTCTGAAGAGATACATCAAAGAAGAGCGGCCGCGGGGTAATGTTGGCAAAGTATATCATGTGAATGTAGTACTGATAATTTTACAGAAATGCATGGAAAGGGCTACGGAATGCCTTCCTCGCATGCCCAGTTCGTCTCCTTCTTCTCCGTCACCCTAGGCCTGTTTCTCCTCTTTCGGCACGTCCCACACCCGACCGAAACCCACACCCCCTTCTCTTTCGGCGGCCGCGTCCTCCTTTCGCTTCTAGCAATGGTTTGCGCAGGAGCTGTAGCAGCAAGCAGGATATACTTGAGCTACCATACACCAAAGCAAGTTGTCGTCGGATGTGCCGCCGGAGCCCTCTTCGCTCTAGCTTGGTTCGGCTTCACAACCTTCCTGCGGAAGGCCGGCTGGATAAACTGGGCTCTTGAGACCTGGGTCTTGAGGACGTTGCGCGTGCGAGATCTCGTAGTACAAGAAGATCTCGTTGATTCTGGCTGGGCACGCTGGGAAGACCGAAGGAAACGGCAAACGTTCCAAGTCCAGGGTAAGAAAAGCAGGTGAGATCTAAAATCTCTGTATATATTACCACGGTACGAGGCTGTCATACTCGTATCCGCTTGTCCATACTCAAATAGATGTGTAGCGCAACACAAAACAAGATTGGCGACTAGGCCGACTTTCAAGCCTCTCGACATTCTTAGCTCCCGTGCGCCGTCGAGATCTCCAGAGCTTCTTTCCGCGGAGTCACTTTCGTTCGTTCAACATCTCAGCCTCCAGACAGGCATGTCCCTAGTACCAATCACAGATCATCGTCATGACATCTGTAACAGCCACCAACGTCAGGCTAGTCGTGGCTTCAGCCGTGTGCAACGGCATATTCTTGCTCTTCCAACACTTCGAAACCTATCATCCCCCGTGCTGCCTTAACAAAAGACTTATCTCCAGTCAGCCGTGGCTGAAGTTTGCCGTTCACAAGCGATGATCCCCACAGTTAATGGTTCGGACTATATGTGGACCCTTGACGTGCATCTTCCGTCACAATCGTCATGCTGCCGTCGCCGTGCCGTTGGCTATGACAAACCCGTCAATCCGAATGATTGACCGCTATAGTATAACGGCGGCCGTAATTACTTTTAGGTCGTCTTTTAGGTCGGGTTTCCCCAACTTAGGCGTCCATGTCGTAACTGTCGTCCCTCATCACTATTCTCTATGCTCTGTTTTGCAAATACCTTTGTCAATATACCCATCCCCAGTAATCTCTAATCCGACTTCATCTTCCGACGATGCCACGCATGAACACCTACCGCGAGCCCAAACCCCCACCGCACCGTTCCCGCAGCCACCAAAGAAGCCAAAGCCAAAGTGAAAACAGCAGCCCCCTCCCACGCAATGAATCAAACTACGACGTACCCGCACCGGAACCCAAGAAGCATCTCAGCAGTCTAGAAGGGCACCTCGTCGCAGCGAGTGGAGAGTTTGTTGGCACATTCATGTTTCTCTACTTTGCTTTTGCCGGTCAGCTCATGATCATCAACCAAGCAAGTGATCGGTCGATTCTGAATGGGTTTGCTAGCAGTCAGCAGAATATCTTCATTGCTTTGGTGTATGGGTTCAGTTTACTGGTGAATGTCTGGGCGTTCTTTCGCATTAGCGGTGGGTTGTTCAATCCGGCGGTATGTACCCTCCCAGTATCCTCCAGGATACGCGTTAGGTTGTCGAACGATGCTAACATATCTCCAGGTTACCGTCGGCATGGTAGTTGCCGGTCAACTCCCCTTCATCCGATCCCTCTTTCTCGTTCCCGCTCAGCTACTCGCATGCATGTGTGCGGGTGGAATCGTCCAGGCTATGTTTCCTGGGGATATCAGTGCTGTCAATACTTCGCTCTCCCAGGACACGTCTATCGCCCAGGGAGTTTTCATCGAAATGTTCATGACTGCTGAGCTCGTCTTCGTTGTGCTCATGCTAGCTGCGGAGAAGAGCAAATCTACATTCCTAGCTCCGATTGGCATCGGATTGGCGCTGTTTGTAGCTATGATGGGCGGTGCGTTGATCTTCACTCTGAGACGAGGAGATTTTTGGTTCTTGACGCTAATTGTGCATAGGTGTATACTTTACCGGCGGCTCACTCAATCCTGCGCGTAGCTTTGGTCCAGCTGTCGCTTCAGCGTCGTTCGTCGGTTATCACTGGATCTACTGGGTTGGTCCATTACTCGGTGCGCTTCTTGCTTCGGCATACTACCGCTTCGTGAAGCACTTCAATTACGAGCAAGCGAACCCGGGGCAGGACTCTTCGGGTGGCCACTTCTCGGCATAAGTGTCTAAAGAGTGGGCAGTGTCAGGGATTCTCGGCAGATTCGAACATACAGCGTGGAGTTATAGGAGTATTCCATCGATGAAGGATAGTTGCAGAAGCGTTTGGGTATCTTGTTGCTTATGGGAAATCAGTCTAATCGTTTCCCTTTCGTACAACTAGGCAAAGACGTAAGATGGTTTTGGTGCTCACTTATGTAGTGTTGAACTGATCGAAAACGGGTTCACATCTCTGTTAAACTTTTACGTAGTTTACTGTGGTCATTTGTTATCCAACAGCTATAAAGACGGCAACGAGAGCGTGCACAATGTGCACGATATCCGGACACTATAATGACAGCAATGCGGGAGTGCAGGATATGTACGATGGCTCAACCCTGAGCACGATATCCAGAACACTAGACTCCATGTAAATGCAAGCACAAAGACGCGGTGTTGATGCAGACGCAAGGCAACGATATGCAGGGAATCAAACAAAAAGGGGCCAGTTGTTACGGAAAGAAACAAGAGCTGGATACGAACATGAATCAAACAGGGGACTCCTGTAAAGGCTGTCCGCGATCAGGGAAAAGGAATGAAACAGCATAAGCCGCGAAGGAAGTGCAAGGAGGGATGGCAGTAACAAGCCCACCCTGTATCGAAGCCTTTTGCACGAGCGCGACGATGCAGAGACATATCCCGGCGAACACCAACGTGATCAGTATATATCTAGTTGTTGTCAGTATACTCCTTAGCACTAACTCATCAATTGGTACTTACAGGCTGTCATGCTTCACTCGACGAGTCTGATAGCGAAGGTACATCATCATTGCGATGGACCAAACCCCAAAGATACTGTCCGACAACATCAGTACGATTCAATAGAGATAGAATGGTGGATACTTACGTCCAAGAGAAGCTAGGCCGGACCGCTGCGTCATTACGCATGATGAACCACAGTACACTTGTTACGCCCATCAATGAACCCAACATCTGACCCGCCATAGTCATCAGATGACAAACGGCGACGAAAGACATCGTACCCATGGTAGCCAAAGGGATTCTTATAGGGAAAGGAGGGGGCGGGTTCGGGGCGAAAGCCCCGTGGGCGTTCTGTACTGGGAACGGTGCCAGCGCCATCTGATTGTCCATCGCTGCCACTGGAACGACCAAGTTCGTGAAAACGAGGAAGATGGCTAGAGGGACAAGTATTGTTTTGATCAATGGTCGGAGTCTTTGGAAAAGCAAAGATGTTGAAGCCTCGCTAAATGGAGTACGAAGTGCGGTCGTTTCGCGCAATTGTTGTATCGCTGCAGCAGCGTCACCGCAAGGCGGATCCGGATAAGACTCCGTGCTAGAAGGAGCCATGGTCGTATGGTTCCGAGTGATGCTGGAGCCTTTGGATTGCATTGCGCCGAAGTCGTTGCTCAATTGCATTTCGATGCTGTTGTTATTAGTATCTAGGAAAGGCCAGCAAATATAGGTAGAGAAAGTAAAGGGCCAACTTACGGACGTCAATTTTGGAGAACGATAGCGTCGATCAAGAAGCAATTGCAAGAGAAGTTTTGGGGGGGACAGGTCAAGAAAAGGCCGCGCCTGATCCCACCCACATGTTCATTGCGCAAACTAGCACCGGTCACAGAAGACAAGGCGAGAAGTATAGTGGCTGTGTTTTTGAGCTCAGCCCATGTTTAAGACTCGGCATGCAGACAATGAGGCAGAATCGCGACTGCGTGGCCTTTTGCTGTTCGCTGGACACGGTGGAGGACGCAGAGCAAGCTGACACCGGCATATCGGAGTAGTGTCACGAGAACAAAAGATACACTGTGTGGTAGACTCCGCCACGTATCTGTGACGTCGCAGAAGGAATTTGGTATATGTACTACCGTGGTGCAGCCGCGATTCGCTGATGATGATGGTGAAGGACTCGACCAGCGCACACCGGTGGCTGGCTTGCGCCTCAGCCTGATGCATCAAACTCGTAACAGGGCAACAGAGCCCCGCCTTGTCTGTCAGCCTAGCTGGTTTCTGACGTTTACTCGCATAGGGATCTTTATATACCCCCCGCATGCCTTTCCTGCCTTTTTGTTCTTGCAATGCCATCAGACTGAATCTACCAATACCTCCAACCTATTTTACTGCTCCAATAATCAGCCCCACTCCCAACCTCGCGACGGCGGAGCACCCTGTGGTTCATAACTCTTCACTTCGACAACCCACCTACACGGCCCAATTATCACTATGAGACTACCACGATGGTCATACTGCAAATGCGGAGACGCCACAATGCAATGCACCGCATGGCTCCACCAATGGCTACTACATGCCATACTTGTACTGAGCTTCATTGTCGATGCAATAGCAGCGCTTGATCTCGGTCAACACAAATGGCAATGCTTTTCGACGGAGACAACAAGCGATACTGGCGCCAACCATAGAACTGTGTCGACCATCGCATTCTTCACCGCATCCACCATCATCTATCGGACCAACAGCCACGATCAATGGCAAGAGCATTTCCTTCTCGCAGGAATAACGTCTGGTGCCGCCTCCGGCCTTCTTCTCAAAGGAGGATTACAAGAAGCCATCCTCCAATTCATACCATGGACCGTTATGCTGTCTTTACTGTTCAGCACCATACATCACCGAACGGTTCAGTTCGCCCGTTGTAGAAGTCCCGTGTTAGAAGAGAAGGTCCCTTTGCTGCCTTGAAAGCGCTCGCACAGGAGCTATGAAGGAATAGTGGTACTGCTCAGAATGCGATGTTCACATCGTCGATCTCTTTCCTATGTCAACTCGCAGGTCAACTCATAACTCGGTCGTGTCGTTTGGGCGTTGGCAATGTTGCTTTGGCGTTATCAATCACTTTTTGTATACAAGTCTGCACAGTATAAGTACTGTAATAGATGTTAAAATCCGGGTATCATACCTTGCGCCTAGCGTCAAATTATCATCAAACTGTCTCCCAACGTCCAGTGACCGAGTATCGCCGTGTCCTTATTTGCTCGGTCTGACCATCGTATGTGTATCCTCGTGACGCTCGTACTAGCCAGTGAGTTGAAAGGCCTTGTCGCAATAGCTCACAATGCAAGGCGGCCTAATGACATCGATGTTGACCTGTACTTCCTTCCTCGGAAACGTTGTAAACATCGCTTCCCATACGCATATAGACACGACTCATTTTTCACTTGCCTCCTCTCCGCAATTCATCATCGTTAGGCATCCGACAATTAGGCTGTCGACGGAGAGGAATCTCAGTGTACTTTGTA